CTTAAAACTGTGCATGCATGTAATATGTTATGAGTCACATTTAAGAACATGTCTCTGAAATGGTTGTCAAAACTGTCCTGGAGCAGCCCAGCACTGTCTCCCTCATCTAACACACCCGGTTTAACTCGTCAGCTCATTAATAGAGACTTTAAGACCTGAAGTGGGTCAGAAAAGGTAAAGAGAGTTGAGAGAAAATACGATGCGTGTCAGATCCGCGTCACGTTCAGCAGCGGCAGCTCTTAAAGTAATAGCAGCCAAATAACCTAATAACCAGCTGCTGTGATGTCTGTTCATTAAAGAAAAAAAAAGAAAGAAAAAAACAGGAAATCAATAACTTTTATAGCTTTAAGGATTCATCTATATTTAATTTAGAATTTAGTTTTTGACCATTTAAATTTCTGTAGCCTATATTTCTGGTGAAGGGCACAGGTAAATATGATATTTATTATAATGGGTTTATGTGAAGATTGTTTTAAGTTCACTTAAATTAGAAGTTATTTTTTAAAGTCTAATAAAAGTTAAAATTGATAGCTCTCAATTATACTGTAATGTTGAATGGCTATAGTCAATGGTTTAATATTAGGGAAAAAAAATGTTTTATAGAGACATCAGTAGTATCGGTATCAGTGATACTGGCCTTCAGTCATAAAAAAGATGCCATTGAACAAATATACTGTCTTTATGTTGTTTGTACATGAATTTGAAGATTCAGTGTAAAATTATTGCAATATAAAAGTATATTTAAAAACTTTGATGTTAGGTGGGATTAATCACGATTAATTTCAGAATAGATGTGCAATTAATTAGTTAATTTTTTTTAATCGATTGACAGCACTAACATTATATATATATATATATGTGTGTGTGTGTGTGTGTGTGTGTATATATATATATATGTATATATAATACACTAAAAATGTTTCTCAAAAGCTTTGCAACTTTGTGCATTGGGAAAGAAGAAAGATACATACCTGGACAAGTGTGGACTACAGGACTGGTCCTAAAGAGCAGCTGTCAGCCTGAGCGAGATACCTGTCTGCCAGACTCCTGCCTTAAATACAGTGCAAAAGAGGGCTGGATGTAACACACCCACAAGTCTCAAGGCAGAGCCGTCTGCAACACAGCTTGGTGTTTATTAACTATCACTTTAACATGAAGTATCACTTGTCTGTTTTGCAGCTTTCTGTAATTCATGAGCCACACCTGAGGGAGAACATTACACCAGTTCATTTACTGTGAAAACTGCTAAATAAAAATGATTAATGAAAACATGTACAGTTTACACTACAAAATCTCCCAAAATGTTAGTTTTATTATTATTATTATTATTTACATTTTGGTCCTGTTCAAAGCCTTCTGAGCTCTGTGGATAGTCCATCATCACTCAATCACATCTAATGCATTCATCTGTTCAACCAACTATTGCCGTTTAATTCACTTTTTACTGTGTGAAGGGTCAGGAACGTCAGAGATTGTGTATGTATGTAGATAAACTTTACTATAACGTATGTCACTAAAAACATATTTCATATGAAATTATATTTCTGTAATCTTACGCAAACAGAAGAAAGCAATAAAACTCTCACAATGAATATTAAAGTATTTTAATGTGTTTTTAATGAAATGTGTAAAAATAGAGTATACCTCTGTTCGTCTGTGTCTTGGCTGTGTCGTTTCATTATGTGATCAAATTATTCATGTTTGCTTGTAATGCTTGTAATGCATTGATTCGCTTCAGGAGGCCTTTATTCACCCCACGGAGCTGTGTGAGGCACTTTTTTTTATTATGGATGTATGCGCTTTATTTGACTTCTTTTGGACTGTTGACAAAAATGACCTGATGACTGCCATTATAAAACTTGGAAGAGCAAGGACCATTTTTAATTTAACTCCGATTGGATTCATCTGAAAGAGGAAAGTCATATACAGCTAGGATGCCTTGAGGGTGA